TGCCTTCACTATTACCAGGAAGGAGATCCGAGGACAACATGGACCCTGAGAATCCAGAGGTAGATGACCGTGATGAGACAGACGACTCACATCAGCCAGGCAAGGGTAAACATCGCTCACCTGATGAAAGAGGGCACTCAGAACCTCACAAGAGAAGGTCTGAAAAACCAGGAGCCAGTAGGGAAGGTGGCACTGAAGAACAACATCCACAGACAGACAAAAGACCTCAAGTTCCATCGACGTGTCCAGCTCCACCAGAAGCTCAAGTGCCAATAAAGCCTCCAGCTCCACCAGGAACTCAAATTCCGCCGACGTGTCCAGCTTCACCAGGAGCTCAAATGTCAACAAGGCCTTCAGCTCCACACGGATCCCAAGTTCGACCGACCCATCCAGCTCAACCGGGAGCTCAAATGCCAGCTAGGCCTCCAGCTCCATATGGATCACAAGTTCGACCAATGCATCCAGCTCAACCAGGAGCTCAAGTGCCAATGAAGCCTCCAGCTCCACCAGGAACTCAAATTCCGCCGATGTGTCCATCTTCACCAGGGGCTCAAATGCCAAAAAGACCTCCAGCTCCACCCGGATCCCAAGTTCGACCGACGCATCCAGCTCAACCGCGAGCTCAAGTGCCAACAAGGCCTCCAGCTCCACCCGGATCCCAAGTTCGACCGACGCATCCAGCTCAACCGCGAGCTCAAGTGCCAACAAGGCCTCCAGCTCCACACGGATCCCAAGTTCGACCGACGCATCCAGCTCAACCGGGAGCTCAAATGCCAGCAAGGCCTCCAGTGCCACACGGATCTCAAGTTCTGCCGATGCAACCAGCTGCATCGGGAGGTCAAGCTCCAATGAAGCATCCAGGTCCACACAGATCTCAAGTTCAGCCGTTGCAACCAGCTGCAACGAGCAGTCAAGTGCCAAGGAGGCCTCCAGCGACACCTCGACATCAGGTTTCGTTCAGTGCATCCAGCTCCACAGAGACCTCAAGTCCAGAACCGTCTGATCCCGGTGAGACCCAAAGTGGCAGTAAAGCATCCAGTCCAAGAGAGAAAGCCTAAAGATCAGAGGAGGCATGCCCGACCATCCAAATCAAGGCCTAAAAAATAGGGATTTGGGATTTTTTAAGAACAAGAAGTAGGGACTGTTCTGGTAGTAATTTGTGATAATTAACTTGCGCCCAGGACAAACAAATCAACAAACACACCCAACAGCAAAAAATAAACTAAATAAAAGTGAATAATAGGCTGCTTCTTCTATAAAGGTAAAACCTACTGAAATAAAACAACATACATAAAGCGCTGCCTAAATGTGATAATAATAAATGGCATTATACATAAATACAACTCAGCAAAAAAGTCCTTGGTGTGAAAAATGATAATAATTGCAAGTGCTTCTCCCACAAACAGAAGGTAATTTGTGCTTTGTGCTCCCCTCCTGTGTGCCCACCAACTCACCAACTATATTGGACTCTCATAATGAAACAAGAGTCATTCAGAATTTGGTGGGGCATGTGAAGTTCCTGAAGGATCTTGCAGTCCCTCCTGGTAAATGAAGCCTAACATTCCGTCATGATGTCATGATGTAGAGTATATGCATGCAAAGAATGGAGAAAGGCATCCAAATAGTGTGATTCCGTTTATTAAATAGAATAAGATGCACTGGTATTGCACTCACGTTTCCAAAATAAAAAGAGCGTAAAACGCCGGCTTGGAAGGCAGTACAACCCTTGTGCACTTTAAACACCGGTAGTGATGTCACCACAGTGCGTATCCAATGCGTTTCGTCCCTCCCACTGGGTGTCCTCAGAGGCATAGGGCCGTGGTGATTGGCAAACTCATTTATATGCTATAGCTCTGCCTACTACCACCGATTTGTTGCATTCCCTGGCTGGATGTGTGGCGTCGGCCATCTTGCTACTCTTACCAGGAAACTGGATGTGACGAGGACCAGAAAGCATCCTCCACCATCTTGGCGCACTCAAGAGTGTACACCCCGAAGTCCACAGAACCCCTTCAAGTTAAGCTAGCAACTACACACCTCAAGTCAAAAATTGCAATGTAGAACCAGCTACACACCCAACACAGTTGAACTAGGCTTCACTAAAAAAACAAAACATCCAATATGGTGGGAATGTAAGATGTGGATCCACGAAACTACACACCCCCATACACCCTTACGACATAAATAATTACAAAAACCCTTACTCAATACGTATTGCATGTAACAGGGATCAATTAAACGACTAAAATTTTGCAGTAAAAAAATATAAATGAACAATAATAAAAATTACATAATGTATGTAAAAAAATTAAAAATTGGAAATAAAACAGGTCACGTCCATCTCTATATTAAGACCTCTGGGGGCCATATGGGCCAGAAATGGACGTGAACTGTTTTATTTCCAACTTTTAATTTTTATACATATACATATATATATATATATATATATATATATATATATATATATATATATATATATATATATATAAAACCTTTGCACAAACCAATCAATATATGCTTATTGGGATTTTTTTTTATACCAAAGGGCTGAATTTATGAAGAAATTATTTTTCATTGGATAGGTTTTATGACAAAGTAAAAAAAAAGTTGGGTTTTTTCAAAATGTTTGTATTTTTTAGTTTATATAATAAAAAAAATAAAAACCCCAGTGGTGATCAAACACACACCAAAAGAAAGCTCTATTTGTGTAAAACGATGGGGCACTATTCCTCCCACTGATACCAATGATGGGGCGCTATTCTTCCCACTGATACCAATGATGGGGCACTATTCCTCCCACTGATACCAATGATGGGGCACTATTCCTCCCACTGATACCAATGATGGGGCTCTATTCCTCCCACTGATACCAATGATGGGGCACTATTCCTCCCACTGACACCAATGATGGGGCACTATTCCTCCCACTAACACCAATGATGGGGCACTATTCCTCCCACTGATACCAATGATGGGAGCGCTATTCTCCCACTGATACCAATGATGGGGCACTATTCCTCCCACTGACACCAATGATGGGGCACTATTCCTCCTCACTAATACCAATGATGGGGCACTATTCCTCCCACTGATACCAATGATGGGCGCTATTCCTCCCACTGATACCAATGATGGGGCACTATTCCTCCCACTGACACCAATGATGGGACACTATTCCTCCCACTGACACCAATGATGGGGCGCTATTCCTCCCACTGATACCAATGATGGGGCGCTATTCCTCCCACTGATACCAATGATGGGGCACTATTCCTCCCACTGATACCAATGATGGGGCACTATTCCTCCCACTGATACCAATGATGGGGCACTATTCCTCCCACTGATACCAATGATGGGGCGCTATTCCTCCCACTGACACCAATGATGGAGCGCTATTCCTCCCACTGATACCAATGATGGGGCACTATTCCTCCCACTGATACCAATGATGGGGACACTATTCCTCCCACTGATACCAATGATGGGACACTATTCCTCCCACTGATACCAATGATGGGGCACTATTCCTTCCACTGATACCAATGATGGGGCACTATTCCTCCCACTGACACCAATTATGGGGCACTATTCCTCCCACTGACACCAATGATGGGGCACTATTCCTCCCACTGATACCGATGATGGGGTGCTATTCCTCCCACTGATACCAATGATGGGCGCTTTTTCTCCCACTGATACCAATGATGGGGCACTATTCCTCCCACTGATACCAATGATGGGGCGCTATTCCTCCCACTGATACCAATGATGGGGCACTATTCCTCCCACTGATACCAAGGATGGGGCGCTATTCCTTCCACTGATACCAATGATGGGGTGCTATTCCACTGACACCAATGATGGGGCACTATTCCTCCCACTGATACCAATGATGGGGCACTATTCCTCCCACTGATACCAATGATGGGGCACTATTCCTCCCACTGACACCAATGATGGGGCACTATTCCTCCCACTGATACCAATGATGGGGCGCTATTCCTCCCACTGACACCAATGATGGGGCGCTATTTGTTCCCACTGATACCAATGATGGGGCGCTATTCCTCCCACTGATACCAATGATGGGGTGCTATTCCACCCACTGATACCAATGATGGGGTGCTATTCCTTCCACTGGTACCAACAATAGGGCACTATTCCTCCCACTGATACCAGTGTTGGGCACTATTCCTCACTGACACCAGTAAAGGGGCACTATTCCTCCCACTGACACTAATGATGGGGCACTATTCCTCCTACTGATACCAATGATGGGGCACTATTCCTCCTACTGATACCAATGATGGGGCCCTATTCCTCCCACTGACACCAATGATGGGGCACTATTCCTCCTATGGACCACCAGCCCTGAGGCCATGTTTATTCCAACTGATACTGGGCCCGAAACATTTTCTACCCCTAGTGGTCACAATCTGGCCCCCCTAAAGTCTGAAGGACCGTAAACTGGCCCTTTATTTGAAATGTTAGGAGACCCCTGTTTACATAAGGTAGACTGTCATTTATAGCACAGTAATTATGGAGTATGTTGTGAGCACAAGCACTGCAGACTATGTACAGTGTATACTGTATGTAGGTATAGACTTTATTTAACCATGCTCCTTTAAGTTTTGCCCAATATTAGGCACAGCTTAGCCACGTCCATTTTCACCATGGCATACAGAGTGCGATGCATGTCTCATGGCGTCCCTCATTCCTAACTTGCAAAGCTTGGAGGTATGAATACCTGACCTCACAGATGGGCACAAATTCCAACAGACATCTTCCAAAATCTTATGGAAAACCTTCCCAGAGGAGTGGAGGCTGTTCCAGCTTGAAGACCCGCTAACATTTCATATCAATGGCCATGGTGATGGAATGGCATCTCCAACAAGCTCATAGAATTGAGAAGGTCGGGTATCCACCTACAGATGCCCACACAGTTTGACTGGCTAATTTAGGAGGCCACATAATGAAACCAGGTAAAGAACACTTACCTGTGGCCTCCAAGCATTAATTCGCCCTTGCAGATTCAGCCTTGCCAAATTTGGAACCCAAGAAGAGAAGATGGAGTGCAGAGAAGAAGAGGCAGACAGCTGGTATGGCATGATCGCTCCGGACTGCATACCAAGCGACATGGAGCAACCTGAAAGGGAAAGCACAAAAGACAACTAATCTAAACACAAGATGACCCACCATAATAATATCACACATATGTTGAGTGTCGTTTGTGAGGCTAGTCATACCTAGAGCAACCTAGTTCTACTGTATATGGTCAAATATGGAGGAACTTACCCCTGGAAGTCTGATGTTCCTCCAACACTTGCTCAGGAGCGGACTGACCACTCATGGGGCCCCCAGGCAATAGGGGATCATGGGGCCCCAGTGTCCTTGCCCAAACTCAAAAAAGCCTATGAAAAAGGTACCAGGGGCATCTCATGGGGCCCCTTACTGACCCCCCAGACAATAGGGGATCATGGGGCCCCAGTGTCCTTGCCAAAACTCAAAAAAGCCTACGAAAAAGGTACCAGGGCCATCTCATGGGGCCACCTACTGATCCCGGGCCCTCGGGCAGTGCCTGAGTTTCCAAATGGTCAGTCCGCCCCTGCACTTGCTTAATGGATACGGCAAGTAGGGGGCACTGTTAAACGGGAACGTTATATATCCACTTTTGTTAACATTTAAAATTCAGTATTTTTTGTTAGAAAATTACTTACAACTCCCAAACATTCTAAATATTTTTATTAGCAGAGGCCTTAGAGAATAAAATGGTGGGTTTTGCAATTTTTTTTATGTCACATGGTATTTGCGCAGCCATTTTTTTAATGCACTTTTCTGGGGAAAAAAAATACACTTTCATGAATTTTATTGCACGCAAACACACTATAATAGCCATTTTTTTAATAAAATATGGTGTTACGCAGAATAAATAGATACAAAACATGTCATGCTTGTGGAATGGCGTCAACCTATGGTATTTAAAAAAATCTCCATAAGCGTCGTTTTAGAAGGCTTTACAGGTTATCAATTTAGGGTTACAGAGGAGGTCTGGTGCTAAGATGGTGCTCTCGCTCTGATGCTTGCGGCGATACCTCATATGTGAGGTGCGATTGCTGTTTACATATGTGTGCAGGATTGAAGTGCAGCCGGATCGCTTCCACAAATCCTGGCAACAGTGTTCCCATCCAGGCTGCACTCCCATCGGCAGACCTGGGACCAGTGCTACTGAGCAGAGAGAAGGGAGATCAAAGAACGTATGTTCACTGTTCTCCCCTTCCTACTAAGAACCTGGAAGCCACAGGTAACACATCACTTCCTTTCTCTGATCTCAAGTCCTCCAGCTGGTCTGACCAGAGAATGCAATGGAGCTGAAGTAAGGAACGGGAGCAAATCAGAAGAGCTGCTGGGACAAAAGAAAGGTTCCCATCAATGTTATAAGTAATTATCATTTTTTAATATGATTTATGATAATAACTATAAAAATCATTCCTTTGAACTCTTACTAGTACGGTCGTAGCCAAAATGCTTCATCCTCAGGCCAGCTCTAGTCCCTATATGTACAGGGTAGATCCTTTCAAAAGAACGACCACAGGAGGATTGCGATTTTCCGTTTACATATGCATGCAGGATTGACGTGTGCGTTCGCCTTACATGCAAGCACAGGGGGCGGAGGATTTAAATTTTTTTTTTTTTTTACACTGCTTCTTTAATTTTTTTTTTTCGTTATTGTGATAACAGTCAGCAGTGACAGGTCCTCTTTATGTGTCTATCAGAGTCTGGAGTCTATTAGACCCCCAGACCTCTCCTCTGCCCTACAATCATCCGAGATCGGTGTGATCGGTGTGAGCAGATACTTTCCAGATTTAAAAATGGCGCCATTTACTTTTGTGAAAACTAGAAACAACAACTGTACTTGTCTCTTCCAGTTTCCGATATCCTAGAAGTCATCAGAGTCCTTCGAGGGGAGTTTGTCCTCTGCTCCACCACCTTTAAAAGCCATCCAGCAGGTAATTAGCCGCTTGGATGGCTTTTATTAAAAAAAAAAAAGGCAGACACCGGCCGGAAAAAAAACAATACCGGAATGATGCCTGCCAGCTGTAGGCACCATCCTGGTGTCCCACTTGAAACCCGTAACATATATGTATGTTAGCGGGTCTTCAAGTGGACATACCAGTATAGAGACTGCCCTGCTGAATCTGAACAAGTTTGGGGACCCTGGCTTGATACGCCCTGTTTAAGTCTGTTGGACCTGTCAATGGATAGACTTTTGGTGGCTAAAACATTCCTTCTTCTGGTTTCGCCATATATTGATAAAAGGTACAGCCAGGGGCGGACTGACAACTCACGGGGCCCCCGGGCAATAGGGGATCATGGGGCCCCTGTGTCCTTGCCCAAACTAAAAAAAAACAATGAAAAAGGTACCAGGGGCATCTCATGGGGCCCCCTACTGACCCCGAGGCAATAGGGGATCATGGGGCCCCTGTGTCCTTGCCCAAACTAAAAAAAAAAAATGAAAAAGGTACCAGGGGCATCTCATGGGGCCCCCTACTGACCCCGGGGCAATAGGGGATCATGGGGCCCCTGTGTCCTTGCCCAAACTAAAAAAAAACAATGAAAAAGGTACCAGGGGCATCTCATGGGGCCCCCTACTGACCTCGGGGCAATAGGGGATCATGGGGCCCCTGTGTCCTTGCCCAAACTCAAAAAAGCCTATGAAAAAGGTACCAGGGGCATCTCATGGGGCCCCTTACTGACCCCAGGCCCTCGGGCAATGCCCGAGTTTTCAAATGGTCAGTCCGCCCCTGGGTACAGCATATACATTACCTTGTGACTATAAATACTTGACTCTGTAGGGCAGGGGTGTCAAACTGGCAGCCCTCCGGCTGTTGCAAAACTACAAGTCCCATCATGCCCCTGGCCTTTGGGAGTCATGCTTGTAATGGTCAATCTCGCAATGCCTCCTGGGACTTGTAGTTTGGCAACAGCTGGAGGGCCACCAGTTTGACACCCGTGCTGCAGTGATATACTTTAGGTACCTTATAAATGAATAATCACAATATGTCTTGTATGTGGCTTGAACCACGGTGTAACTGCTCTGGAACTGTTTATCATTTTCAAAAGTTTTCAAAAGTTCTCTTCCCTAATTAACAAAAATATGGAGGAACTGCTACAAAAACATGGCCTCAGCAGATAATTATTGCTGCTTTATGGTGTTGGTCAAGGTTGAGAAGTCCCATAGACCCCATTTTTGTAACTGACCCAAAGGTGGCTTGCTATACAAATGTAAATTTGTGGAGCACCATAGTGGCTTCGTGGATGGCAGTCCTGCCTTGCAGCACTGGGGTCCTGGGTCCAGATCATGTTGGTACTCCTGCCTTGCAGCACTGGGGTTCTGGGTCCAAATCATGGAGTTTACATGTTCTCTATGTGCTTATGAAGGCATCTTTTGGGTACATCGGTATCCCCCCACACTCCGAAGACATGCCGGTAGGTTACTTAGCTCCTGTCTACATTGGCCCTGTTATGTGTATGTATGCAAGGTACGTACAATATGCAAAGCACTGCATAAAACGGGTTGACATCATATAAATACCTATATTAGTAAACCTCAGACATGGATCAATCTAGTACTGCATACCTAAATCATAAAATGGATTTCAGTGGAAGTACCTAAATTAGACCTGGTATCAATCCCTGTACAGCAGAGCTCAGACTGGGAGAGGGAGAAGTATCATAAGCATCACAAGGAGCCTGAATCCATTGTGCCGCAGTGCTCATATGCTACAGACATACTGATAGGAGGAGAGCGCAGAGTGATTGAGAAATAAGTTTATCAATCTGCTGCTCCTTCACTGTTCAATCGCAGGATGGGGGAAGGACAAAAGCTGTAAGTGTTAATTAACCTTTTTACTGCCACTGATGTATGCCATATGATGGTAGAAGCAGGGGACTTTACACACACTCGTAATTGATGGCTGTCAAGTGGAAGTGATCCTGGAGATGTACAGCCGCTGGATCGCTTCCACACACCCTGGCAACAGTGCCCCCACCAACCCAGATTCTGTGCTCTCTTTGTTGGACCCTAGACCAGTGTGGAGGGTGCCGCCAAGTAGAGGGGAGGGAGATCAGAGAACATCTGTTCACTGCTCTCCTCTTCCTTCTAAGAGCCTGGAAGCCACAGATAACACATCAGAACCTTTTTCTGTTGTCACGTCCTCCAGCCGGTCTGGCTGGGGAAGAAGCTAATCTAATGGAGCTGAACGAAGGAAGCAATGGAAGGGACAAAAGAGAAGTGTTGCTGGGGCAATAAAGGTTCACATAGGAAGCAATGGAAGGGACAAAAGAGAAGTGTTGCTGGGGCAATAAAGGTTCACATAGGAAGCAATGGAAGGAGAGCAAAGGAGAAGTGTTGCTGGGGCAATAAAGGTTCACATAGGAAGCAATGGAAGGGGAACAAAGGAGCAGTGTTGCTGGGGCAAAGGAAAGGTTCACATAAGAAGCAATGGAAGGGGAACAAAGGAGCAGTGTTGCTGGGGCAAAGGAAAGGTTCACATAGGAAGCAATGGAAGGTGAGGAAAGGAGAAGTGCTGTTGGGGCAAAGGAAAGGTTCACATAGGAAGCAATGGAAGGAGAACAAAGGAGAAGTGTTGCTGGGGCAAAGGAAAGGTTCACATAGGAAGCAATGGAAGGGGAACAAAGGAGAAGTGCTGCTGGGGCAAAGGAAAGGTTCACAGAGCAAGCAATGGAAGGGGAACAAAGGAGAAGTGTTGCTGGGGCAAAGGAAAGGTTCACATAGGAAGCAATGGATGGGGAGGAAAGGAGAAGTGCTGCTGGGCCAAAGGAAAGGTTCACATAGCAAGCAATGGAAGGGGAACAAAGGAGAAGTGCTGCTGGGGCAAAGGAAAGGTTCACATAGGAAGCAATGGAAGGGGAGCAATGGAGAAGTACTGCTGGGACAAATGAAAGGTTCACATAGCAAGCAATGGAAGAGGAACAAAGGAGCAGTGTTGCTGGGGCAAAGGAAAGGTTCACATAGGAAGCAATGGAAGGGGAACAAAGGAGAAGTGTACTGCTGGGGCAAAGGAAAGGTTCACATAGGAAGCAATGGAAAGGAACAAAGGAGCAGTGTTGCTGGGGC